TCCAAGGCTTCCTGCCGATTACATCCAACAATCAAATATAAACGTTGAGAGTGATGAATTTATCCGTAAATTGTACTTCTTAATATATATATCTCCCACGTGGAGTGGTATGATAAGGTGAGCAATATTCAGGTTAGGCGTCGAGTGCTTGGTAAGGAGGGGAAATCAATCAACGAGACTGGGAAATTACATCGACTGAGATGGTTAGGACATGTGCTACGTATGCCTAGTCATCGCCTTCCTCGACGGGCAATGTTAGTTGATATAGGGTCAGGCTGGAAAAGAAACGAAAACATGGCACCAGTCAATGAAATCCACAACAGTTAGTCTAGACCAGTCACGTAGGAAGGTGTAGACTTCCGCGGCACATATGTGCAAAGTTCTATGTCGAAAACCGACCGACCGATCGATATATATATATATATAAATTTTTTTACTTCACATTCCCCAGTGGAACATAGGGCTTCAAGATTCTGCAGCAGTGTTTATTTTTACAGGATGGGGTTGCTAGCCTCATGCCCAACCTTTCCTCTTTACCAGTCTTAGTACTGGCTTAGCCAGGTAAAGGAGTGCGTCGGCCGGGGATCGAACCCCAGACCATGTGCACGGTCGGCGAGCGTCCAGTACTCCCAGGTTTTCCAATGGTTCTCTAACTAATATCAGCTCATGATGAAAATCCTGTAACAATTATTATTATTATTCAATGTGATAAGCTTAGTCCTAATAACGTAGGTTATTGGCCTTGTACATCACAACACCTCTTACCATTCATTTAGTTGGTTATAAGTCATTTACCTTGTATTGTGATATAAGTCGCATTTGACTAACTGATCAGGAGCTTTGTGGGCTTTTGTTATTTCCCAGCTGCTCACAATATCGAAATTTATTTCTTCTTAGGGTACGGTCAGTATGAGTGTAATGTGAACCCAAAAACCAAGGGCCAGACACGAACCGTCGTAAAGTCGGAAAAAAACAACCAATCACGCCCAAGGTCACCGGGAGAGATCATTAATAAACTCGTGGAGAAATCTAAAAGCTCACTTCCTTCAAATTGAAGTATGCGCTGAAGATGTCACCTAGTAGGGTGATGAAAGCTTCGCAAATTAACTATTCAGCTCAGAGAACACAACCACATCAAAAATAAGTCGGACTGTACCCACCCTGTTCCGAGCGGAGAGGGAGCATGACCCTCGGAGGGAAGTACTTTACTGCTATTACATCTATATTCACCAACAGTACGACTTCGTAATCAGACCCCCCCCCAATGTGGTGTTAGCAGCCCACACTATGATAGTAACTGCTTTCAATCTAACTTGTATCCAGCCGATCATTCCGATATGATAGGACCTGCAGGATCATTAGTTCTAGCCGGTTCAGCTACGATATGTATGTCCAATTAACACGTCAAGGTAGCAGCAGTCGGAGGGGATGGGGTTAATCACATTTATTCTATGACGATTGATGGTGCTTACCTACCTGTCTAGGTTGAATGAAGTGGAGTGGTATTTGGACCCTGAACTCATTTGGTTGAAATTCGAATACTACACCCAATCAGCTGTATCTTCACGTCTACTTTAACTACTTCTAATGTTACCTATCATGTAGCTGAAAACTTTCATGACTTTAATACTCTCGATGTTCTAAAATGTCTTAAAACGCTCAAGCCCTCACGTAGCCTTGGTCCTGATGGTATACCTGCATATGTTCTAAAACAATGTGCAGATGTGTTGTGTTCTCCACTAACCAACATCCTAAATGCTTCTTTCTCCAAAAATATCGTACCTGATGCATGGAAAGACATCAAAATTGTCCCTGTCCCTAAACCTGGAAACGGCAAGAACGTAAAGTTCAGACCCATTGCCATCACTTCCCCGTTTCTAAAGCTTATGGAAAAACTAATACTTCTTAAACTTGAACCCTCCCTTAAAAACTTCGAAGACCCTAAACAATTTGCCTATAGACTGGGTAGGAGTACTTTAGACGCTGCAGCTGTCTTACACAACAACATCGTCTCATCATTAGATAAAGGTGCCAAATACGTCCGCTGCACGTTTCTTGACTTCACTTCTGCTTTCGACTCTGTACCTAGATGTCTCCTGCTAAATAAGCTCTCTTTGACAAAAACTGAGTCCTGGGTCACTAACTGGTTGCATTCCTACTTCTCTAACAGAATGCAGTACACCGTATACAAAGGTAAATCATCCTCTGCTGTACTCACTGAAGCCGGAGTCCCCCAAGGCGCTGTACTCTCCCCACTTCTCTTTTCCTTCTTTCTACATGACTTACCATCTTCAAATGACATTAATTTTGTCAAATACGCTGACGATCTGTCTGTATCTTTGCCTGTCAAATGTCAAAGCGACTGCTCTAAACTTAATGGCTTTCTGTCAGAAATCAGTCAGTGGTCCAAGGAAAATGGTCTTACCCTAAACCCCTCCAAATGCCAAACAGTCAATTTCACCTTTAGGCATAAATCCGACCTAAACAAACTGGTTGGCTCTTACGAGGTATGCAACATAGACGGCACTGAAATAGAAACCAAATCGGAAATTAAATACCTAGGTGTCATTCTATCTGCTGATCTCTCCTGGTCGTCTCATATCTTAGCAATTTCTAAGAAAATATTCCGTCTTACCTTCTACATTAAGAAGTTAAAACATTCTGGTATTACCCAACCCTTACTCCTACAATTCGTTAACTCTCGCATTCTGCCTATTATTCTCTATTGTTCCCCCTTAGTTTTTCCCGGGCTACTGAAGAAAGACTATAACATATTACGCAGGATGTTAAAGGTTGTCAGCAGGGTAAGCAACGTGCCACTTAACCAGCTTGTTAATATTCTGGTTGACAGGCACATGGACTCATGTGAAAAATGGGCTAAGTCCATTTTATCTAACTCACACCACCCTCTTCACTCACAACTCTCCCCTTGCATCTCATCAGGCAAAACCAGAAGCCTATATAGAAAACTATATGCTCGCACCAGCAAGTACAAAAACTCAACCATACCCTACTTAGCTCGTGTTCTGTGCGATAAAGAAAGCATTAGGCGTGACACCTATAATTCATTAAATAGTCAGTAGTACAACTGGATCTCGTCTTTCCAACTCACATCATCAATAGGTACAACATTTTCTTTCTTTCTTTTCCTTTTCTCTCTCTCTTTTTTCCGTTATGTGCTGCTTTGTTTCTTTCTCTCGCTTACGCCAGTAAATATGATAGCACCTACTTTTCTAACACCTTCAAACACTGTTCAGCTTTGGCTTTGCTACCGACATGTCAATATGTTGTTGTCATAATGAACTGAGATTTCCTTAATCTATGTAGAATTCTATTTATTGATAATGTACTAACTGGATGCAATACTGTAGTAAAAATGCTGAGAATTCCATTCTGTATCACATGTACTGTTTTGGAATAAAGCAAATTATTATTATTATTATTAAAAATCATTTCTGGGTAGCTGAGTTTCAACTTTGCGTAGAAGTGCAGCAGTTCAAGTCACCATATTGAAGGAAGGCAAAAGGGATAAAAAAAAAGATTCAAGAGATCGATAATAACCAGATATGTGAGGGAGAAAGAATACTAACATGGAAAAATAACAGAGTTTAACGGATCTGTTAACGGATCACAAAGAGTGAACACAACTGCGCCACTGAGAACGATTTCAAACCATATCACCAGTTGTCTCTAGCTATCAGTCCTTAGAATCCCGACAACCCCAACCAGAAAGCCTACTTGGTTGGTTCAAAATAACTGTCAGAGATTTCATAGACTGATTCCACGTTCCAGTTCGACCACCATTAGCTCTTTTCCAACCTGATCCATCTTATGTCAGCTAACATTGTCCATCAAAGAAGGCGATGGCTAGGAATGGGTAACGCATGTGTCTTAGCCATCTCAATCGATGTAGCTTCACAACATTATCGATTGACTTTTCCCCCTCACCTAACCTCTATATTACCCACCCTATTATACTAACTAGCAAGAGAAACAGAACGCACACACCTACGATCAAAGACAGGTAACCTTTCCATATTTCTAACTTTCAATGATCATATGTCACAGGCAAAAAAGAAGACGGATCGAGCTACTGAGTAATACAAACCATCCTTCGATTCATAGCTGGATATCACGTAAGTTGGAAACTGCAACATGGTCCTTTTGTATCCATGCTGAGATTTCGTCATCAATCAATCAGTCGGTTCATTATGGATGATGCAACTTCCCAAATAAGTGAAATAGTCAACACGCTCTACCATTTCCATTCTCTATCTCTAAGCTAGGAGTCTAGAGAGTAGTACAGTCCTGTAGCATCTGTCTGTCTGTTTTCGACATAGAACTTTGCACATATGTGCGGCAGTTCAAGTCGCCACACTCCATGTACCACACAAAGCAAGAGAAGAAAGTAGGAGAAATGCATAATATAGACAGTAAACAGAGGTGTGAGACAACCTGACCCTATATCAGCTAGCATTGCCCGTCGAGGAAGGCGATGACTAGGCACACGTAACACATGTCCTAACCATCTCAGTCGATGTAATTTCACAGTCTCGTCGACTGATTTCGACCTCCTTACCTAGCACTCGACTCACGCCTAACCTCCATATTGCTCACCTTATTATACCACTTCACGCGAGAGATAGAACGCAGACACATATGATCAAAGACAGCTAATCTTTTCATGTCTCGCACACTCCTGTAGCATCATCTTACATTACATTGGACGGGAACAAATTTCATAAAAAAACATTCAAAGATTTCTGCTCAAAGTGTTCACAAGACACTGCATTTTTTCAGCATCTTCACCTAGGTGGACAATATATCATCCGTATATTCTACGTCACTAGATGAATGTCTAAGCCGCTGAAATCAGCTAGGATATGATGAAATTATTAAATAGAAATGAGGACAATCATATCAGGCAAGTCGACATAAAATATACAATACTTTGGAAAAAAAGGTCACTCAAGTGTCTCAGAATTAGATTTAAGAAGAAGCATCGTTATTGAAGATTTTATTATTTTTTTTTATTAAAAAAGAAAGACTTTTAATATTATATCGAAGCATTCTTTCAATCATGAATAAAAGAATTCGAACAATAAAAAAAGGAAATAAATAAATGAAACATTTCAATAATGAATACAAAAGCAATAAAAAGTCAGATCCTTTATAATATGATGCATGTAAAAAGCTGTCTACATTTCTGAGCCTTCACACACACACACATACTCATGTGGTGCTCTGATTTCTCGTTTGTACACGAATTTGAAACCAATGAGATCGAACGAGCGGGAGAGAATGAGATATGTCATAAAAGGAAGGTGTGTTAGAACATTTTATTTCATTTCTATCATGACTTCAAGTTAGTTCACTAGTGTTCGACATTTATTCACTCACTCACTCACTCAGGTGTCACCTTACCTCTTGCACAGACACACAGAGGCATTGTGGTTTATGTTCTCAAACTGACTGACTCAGAAATAAGAACGTATATATTCTACCATCTTATAACTGGATAGAATCCCATTTTTAATGACTCCGTAAAACGCACGAGTGTTAAACACTGATGAACTTAAAGCCAATGATCGAAACGAAATATACCTAATTACATTATATGTGTGTGTCATCATTTTGGTTTAAAAAAATGGGAGCAAAGTTGAGAATAGACAATTTAAAAGAACAAAAAACAACTCTTTGGCGTATAAAAGATTAAATAGTTCAATGATCCGTGAGCATATAGCATAGGGTCTTGCAATTATTCAGTAATTAATAATAATAATATAAAGTTATTAAAAATTTAGATGTGGGATTGTTGAAACACCAGAAAACTAGTTTCGGCTAAATTCTATTCTTTTTTTAAAAGTTTTAATGTTAGTCAGTAATATTATGAGATAAACATAAACAGTAAAAAAGAGGGAATAAACAAGATAGGAAAAGAGATAAAAGCTTTTCATGCAATGATGTGGATAGATGCAAAGGCAGGCATTGAAGTTTAATAATGAGTGGGTGAGTGAGTGAGTGGTGTACTCACAATTGCTCCCCCCCCCCCCCAACACACACACACACACATATATATATATACCCTCTCCGCCTTTTCTTATACATTAATTCGAATTTTACACGCTTCTTCACATTTTTCTTTTGATAAAAAGTTATTCTTGTTAGTATTACATTCTCCATAGATGAATTGTTTACAACTGTGTGTTTGTGAATCCCAACCCCAATGTTGTGTGTGAACTTGACAGTCAACTCCCGTCAGTATAGGTAGTAAACAGATTGGATTTGCTGAATCAGGAACTGAGTAAAAAATATTGTAAGAACAAACAAAATGTACGAGGGAGAGAGAGTAAGAGAGGGTGAAACAGAAAAAAACAAATTCAAGAAATTATAATCTCAATTTTGATCTTCCCGCTGAATGACTGGAATGAATTTTTCGGCCTTTTTATTAACATATCAGCTCTTAGTACGTACGCTTCAACGATGTCTGAGAACTTTAAATGAGTGGTAACCAGTAGTGGAATTCAGGATGCGCATTTCGTCCAATTTTGGACCCGTCAACTGGATCTACCACCTGTGAGTAGTGGTGTTCCAACAACTGAGGGTTGAACCCAATACCAATGGTTTTAAACGTCAAAGCCTTATCTTCTAGGCCACTTTGGTCACGAAAGCCACCTCTTGTGCAACGGTGTTTAATTGGACTGAAATGTTTGGCTTCTGTTGACTTGTCAATTCCTAGTATGGAGGCTTTTACGATGTCTGAGGATTAATTAACAAGTGGTTGTCGTGTCTGAAACGAAAGGTACTGGGTTCGACTATCAGTGGGAACACCATCACTCTCAATGGAATTGTCGACATGCCTAATAGACGAGTCCCCGAATAGGACGAACCACGCATTCTAGATTACACTGCTAATCAGCGCACCGTCTACCAAATTAAAATAATTCTTATTTAGAAAAGATAACAAAAAATCGAGTTCAGCGGTTATTGTGCTGTTGTTTAAACTAAGTTATCCAGGAAAAGTTTTCTGCATATCCCAGACTATAAGCCATACACTTATTGTATCGAGGGATGATAACTCTCCCCAGTCACGCAGACTGAAGTAAACTGGGAGGGGATTCGAACCCATGGTCCAATGGCTATAAGTCAAGTGCTTGGGCCAATGAAAGCCATGTCTCCACAATATTTATTCTATTTTCACTTACTATTGTTACATCTCAGTTATCCAGAAAGCATTTCTAATGTATTAGTTTAAAAGACACACTTATTGTATGACAACTGATGATATGTAACCTAGTTGCCTAGGCTGCGGCAAGTGAGAAGGGAAGCAAGTTAAGAGACCTACCTTATAATCCGAACAGTCTTTATTTTATAGCTTACACGGTGAAGCTATCTAACTACAAATATTAAAGGAGACAAAGTTTGAGTATTTACTCTTGAACTTGTATTATGCAAAACTATGTGACGAATAAGCCACTCGAGCCATAGGCCTCCGAATTACTACCCTACCGATCGACTAGGTCAGCTCTAACTGCTTCCAGGACGTCAATCAGTCAGTCTACATTAACCTACGTGGTTGGCTCAAAGCTCAAACTGTCCAAGACTTCATGGACTAATCCCAGGTTTGGGTTTGACCAACCCTAAGCCCCTTTCAACCTAATCCTATGTCATTAAACACCACTCGCTGAAGAAGGTGGAAGTTCGGGCACGAGCCCTATCTATCTGAATCGATATAGCCTCACAACCTCATAGATTGAATCACCCTTGTTACCTGGCAATCTATGCCTGACTTCAATATTAGTCATTACCTTATACATACACACATACACACCTACGGTTAGCCTTCCTATACCTTCAATTCTTAATAGCCATGACTTGCAGGCATAAAAGAGAACAGTGTGAACTAATGCGCAGTACACACATCATTTGATGGATAACCAGTCAGATATCACCTCCATGCCAGAGATGATGTAGGTTGACAAATTACTCACGAACCTTTTGTATCCATGACAAGACTTTATCAACAATCAGTTTATTAGAGTTGATGCAACTCCCCAAATAAGTGAAGTCGTCAGAGCGCTCTACCACCTCACCACCTATTTTTTTTCAACTAGTACAAACCAGTCTTGAAATATCATCTTGTGTTTGGCAGGTGTAAATCGCATACCTAATGCAATTTTACAAACGGAAGGTAAATTAAGACAAATGTTATCCTAAAGAATTGCTGACTAGTCAAACAGAAGTGATAGATAGATGAGTTTACAAGCTTTATAAAACGAAAACAACCCTACGTTACACAATTGTGATACCTTATTTATCACTTGGCTTCCAAAGCCTCAGGATGGTCGGGGGTGGGTGCCTTGCGCTGCGGGTTGGCCACCCATCCCCACACCTCTTGAAATGCTCCCATATGACCGGGCGTCTTACATAGTCTCTCCTGAGGAAGTCCTACTCATCACTGCCTTCACGTGGCGGAGGTGTTTATCACCAAAGTGAGAGGGCGAAAGCGGATGCCCGGCGCTCTTCACCGGGTTGACTGTCCATTGGATGACAGCCTAGGGGAGATGGCTAAACCCTGATTCCAAACCTCCAACGACTGGCATATGAAGCTCACTGGAGCTCACTGGTAGACGTATGGACAAAGGGCTTGTTGGATTTCGTGGATGTCTGGCCCCATTCAAAAAGGCGTATGAACCGAACTCCGGTCACCGGCTGCCAATGGATAGTGGACTCCCTACTCCACTCCTACTGCCTTGTAGGTCATACTTGGTTGTGTAAAGGCTAGAGCTGCACTCTCAAACAAAAGGCCGAGCGATTCTGGGGGCATCACTCGTACCAAATTCCCATGAAACTTCATGAACTCTATGTTCATGAAGCCGGCTCATCCTCCCGTAGGAGATAGCCGAAGTAAAGTAAAAGTAAAGTAATTTATCACTTACAGTCTTTTTGAGGATTTTCGTTTGAATATACATGCATAAAGTATGAAGCAGCCAACAAAAGTATCAATGTTAACAGAATTCCAAAGGCAATTAAAAATGCAAGCCAACGTCGGTAACGAATAATATGCTCATGTTTTTGTCTTGACGATGTCCTACTGTGTGGCTTTTGAATTTCTGTCCACTGTGATTCAAGAAGAGACTCTTCATCTGGTGTCATTTTTATAATCCAATATGTGTTTAAAGGCTTCTTTTTTATTTCTTGACAAATACTTATCACAGGTTTGTGTGTAGATGATGATGATGATGTCTATGTAAGCAGAAAAATGAATGGCGAAAATGCGAGTCAACAACCCATCAAAAGTATTTTTTAAAAATGTGATTATGTCTGATATATTAATAGCAGAAGAGAAATCGAACATTAAGATTAGTGGAACTATGCCAAACCATGTTTTTATTAATATAAGAATAAAACTTGGGCACTGTGGTAGAGTGTAATTCCATTATAGGTGAATTTTATTTTGATACAGTCTCACAGTGTTATACAGTAATATTTACTGATGACGTTTCGAGCACAATTTATTGCTCATAATCATATCAAGTTAATCACACGACTTCCTAAATTCATTTATATAGTTCCATTGTTTTTCACTTGATTTGATTGGTAGTATTATTTTCCATATTTCGGGTATGAGTGATGATTCATTCCTATTGCATGTGTTTGGTGTAGATTCGAAGAACAAGGATTCAGTAATCAACCTCTCTCTCCACCTACCTAGATTACTTTTTAGAATTTTAACCCTCTCCCACCCTATTGTGTCGGTTATGTGTTAATGCATGCATTGCAATTGCCGAGCTTTTTTCTAAATTACTTATCTTCTCTGGGTCAACCATTCTTACCTTAGCGAAATTCTTATGTTCTGACAATCTGACTACCCCTGACCTACTGGGTCCTTTAACAGATAGAAGAGGCGTTGGTTCTAAATAACTATTTTCTAAAATTCATTAAGAAGATTGAAAAACGCCAAAAGAAAAATAAAAAGAATTGTGAAACTGGTAATAATAACATAAATAAGAGAGAATATAAGTCATCTACACTTATACCATATAAAGAGGGGACATCTGAGACCCTACGTAGAATTCTAAATAAAGCAGGAATTAAGGTGGCATTTAAACCTACAAACTCACTCAGGTAGGACAAGCTCTGTAGGTTAAAGGATCCAGTTGACCCAATTAGACAAAATAATATAATTTACAAAATACCCTGCAATGACTGTGAGTTAGGTCAACTACATAGGTCAAACTAGTAGGTCAGGGGTAGTCAGATTGTCAGAACATAAGAATTTAGCTAAGGTAAGAATGGTTGACCCAGAGAAGATAAGTAATTTAGAAAAAAGCTCGGCAATTGCAATGCATGCATTAACACACAACCACACAATAGGGTGGGAGAGGGTTAAAATTCTAAAAAGTAATCTAGGTAGGTGGAGAGAGAGGTTGATTACTGAATCTTTGTTCATCGAATCTACACCCAACACATGCAATAGGAATGAATCATCACTCATACCTGAAATATGGAAAATAATACTACCAATCAAATCAAGTGAAAAACAATGGAACTATATAAATGAATTTAGGAAGTCGTGTGATTAACTTGATAATAATAATAATAATAATAATAATTTGCTTTATTCCAAAACAGTACTTGTGATACAGAATGGAATTCTCAGCATTTTTTACTACAGTATTGCATCCAGTTAGTACATTATCAATAAATATAATTCTACATAGATTGAGGAAACCACAGTTCATTATTACAACAATCCATTGGCATGTAAGTAGCAAAGGTAAAGCTGAAACAGTATTGAAGGTGTTAGAAAAGTGGGAGCTGTCTTATTAACTGGCGTAAGCGAGAGAAAGAGACAAAGCAGCACATAACAGAAAAAGAAGAGAGAGAAAAGGAACAGAAAGAAAGAAAATGTTGTACCTATTGATGAAGTGGGTTGGAAAGATGAGATTCAGTTGTACTACTGACTATTTAATGAATTATAGGTGTCACGCCTAATGCTTTCTTTATCACACAGAACACGAGCTAAGTAGGGTATGGTTGAGTTTTTGTACTTGCTGGTGCAATAAATTGTGCTCGAAACGTCATCAGTAAATATTACTGTATAACACTGTGAGACTCTATCAAAATAAAATTTACCCATAATGGAATTACATGTTTTTGTTAGGCATCTGTGCTTCTTTATTCCACTCTTCGCTGACTTCAACGGAAGTGCAAATTGATTTTGAGAATTAAAGGAACAATGGGATGACCTATACTCCACATTAACACACACTTCATCCTTGCGCAGATTTGGCAGAAAGCAAAACGGAAGACAAAACATAAGTATAAGCATTTCTGAGAATTCTAAGACAGCACGACATTCCCTTCACTAATGATCCTATAATGAGGAGATACGATGTATTGAATCATTTCCAGCATGATACATCGGTTAAACCATGCAGTTGTTCAGTATGAGTTAAGTTTTGGGGAAAAAGTAAGCTTCTTGAAAGCTGTTCTCCAGTACGAATGCCACAAAACATTCATACAAAGCGGTGATTACTTCACTGACTAGCCTAATTAAGGTTCGATATAATGCACAGCTCAATTTCTATGGTGTGACCTACTACGACAAACAAGTGAGTCTGAAATGAAGGCAAAGGCATTTTCTCAATATGGTATAGACTAATTTCCACGTTTAATGTGACTGCCTACATAAATAGCTAAGTTGATGCACAACACATTCTCTGGTCAACTGAACTGATCGCTGAAGTCTGTTAGTCGATAACCCATTGACAGAATGCGATATGTAATAGTTACATCCCCTTTATTGATTGGGGTATACAACAAGCAAACTAAATCTGGAACCTGGGACTTTATGATACAAATCTAAAGAAAGGATTTATGTTAAAAAATTCTTATAGAGACATCAACATTCTCCTACCCATAGCAAAAGTTACTCATACGAGAAGCAACCATTTATACAAATTATTCGGTCGGTTTTCGACATAGAACTTTGCACATATGTGCGGCAGTTCAAGTCGCCACACTCCCTCCTTGTAGCACACAAAGCAAGAGAAGAAAGTAGAAGAAAGGCATATTAGAGACAGTAAACAGAGGTGTGAGACAAAGGAATAGTAATATCGAAGAACAATATAGTTTCATTGGAAATCGTAAGTCACAAGGAGTGGATGCATCTGCGCTAGCCATTGAGAACGATTTTGAGCCATGTTACCAATTGTTTCCAGCCATTGGTTTTTACCGTCCCGAGGACCCCAACCACGAAGTCTACATCTTCCTACGTGGCTTAGACTAACTGTTGTAGATTTCATTGACTGGTGCCATGTTTTCGTTTGACCGCCGCTAGCTCTTTTCCAGCATGGCCCTATATCAGCTAACATTGCTCGTCGAGGTGAATATTCACAGTGACTGCAGTGACTGGAACTCACACCGATTCAATTGAAGGATCTGAAGAGCTTTTGAAGTGACAGATGACAGTGGTCAGTGGATTTCCAAAAGGCAATCTATGGTCATTTGGATGACCTTATGAAAATAAATTACCCTAACTGACTCTATCGACTTAGGCGAACTTAGATCACACTTGGTTTTCAAAGCATCAACAGTCTGCAACATTTGGTTGATGATGTGGAAAAGATGGGGTCTTCAGAATCCTGTTCCGCTTTCGCATTTGAGTCATATGCACACTCGATGAGGCATTCTGTGCACTCCTGTAATGTAGTCACTAAGCAAGCAGCACGGATATACATGGAAAAGCTGTATCATGAGTGGAAACTTCAACCAAAATTGATAGTGAAATCAGTATGGATGTAAGTAGGAAACGACTTAGTTCTAAAGAAACCGTAATAATCTCTTAGCTTCCGGATAACGACATCGTTGAGTTCATAACCGTAACTCATGGAAAAACACTGTTATTCCTACCCTATGTGAATCCAGCTAACTTCTTCAAAAAGCTTTTCAATTCATCTAATGTTATGTATTTTCAAATGCTGCACTATAAACATCAATACTACATGCACTAAACCGAAAGACATTATGTGTAAGTGTTTTTTAGTAAAGACGGACAAATATAGCCCTGTCACACCGTTACCTCATACTTCTTTGCAAATCAGACAAAGTAACCTAAAATGGTGAACCGTCCTGTGGTTATACTTACATGAATATTGAAACAAAGCAAATTCTACTCTTAACAATTCTTCTTTATGAAACTTACTTATAGGATCAAGAGGAGAGGTACTTTCTACTTTCATCACAAAAATAGGGGAAATTTTTCATTGCAGCCAACAACTGGATGTTGATTAGCAGCTTCTGCATGTACAACTTCAATGTTACAGACGTGAAAATTCAAGCTGGCGTTTAGCCTACACACCTGAATGGAAATGTATTTCATGCAAGAAAGTTGCTGAAACGGGCAAGTTGACTTTTTTTTCCTTCACGTTTCCCAGTGGAACATAGGGCTTCAAGTTAGTGGCTTGAAGTTTCTGTAGCAGTGTTTATTTTACAGGATGGGGTTGCCAGCCTCATGCCCAACCTATCCTCTTTACCAGCATTATTTCTGGCCCAGCGAGGCAAAGTGCGTCGGTGGCCGGGGATCGAACCCCGGACTATGTGCATGGTCGGCGAGCGTCCTAACCGCTATACCACCGACGCACTGGGCAAGTTGACTGCATTCACTTTATTCCCATAGTACGAATCTTTTACAGAAACCAAAAGGATAATGATGATGATGCAGGAGCTGCATAATTTCAGTGAATGGAAGCTGAATAACAGTGAGTAAACATTACCGCTTAGTAATGTGAAAAATAAACAGTAAATTTGTCTCCTGTAAAAACAACTTCGTACAGATTTCCCAGACGGTGGGACTCGAGCCACGTGTACGATGCTATTGATCTGAAGACCGTTGAAACACAGATATGCGGCACAAATTTCATGGGAGCTCTTATGTCACCTATAATCAGCCAACGCACTTGTTCAATATTGATAGTCCTTCAACACTTCCACGAGACCAATACTACTGACCACTTCTTCACCAGTCATACAGTAGTTAGGTCTCAATACGTCAGTCACAGTTACTTTAAAATTAACTTACAGGTCACACTCAATAGAGGGGTTACATGACATGATAGGCAAAATGATAGTCAACACTTATTTAGCCCTATTAACAATCATTAGATATGCAAGAAAGGTAAATGATTGTGAAAACTTGATATGATTATGAGCAGTAATAAATTGTGCTCGAAACCTGGTCA